CACCACCAGCTAACTTCTGATTGGTTCCTTGCCATGAGACAGGCATCTGACCTCTTAGTGACCAAGGCAAGGTCAGACAAGCATGTGTTAACTGTCATGGCTGCCGAAATGGGGAGCTGGTCCCTTCACATCATGTCCCATCCTGATTTTTTTTTTTTTTGCAATTTTATAGAATAAACTTATGAATATTTCAAAAGTAAAATCAATAATGTAGATCCTTCCTTATATGGAAAAGTTGTATGCAGAGACACCCACTTGATTCTAAGCCATTTCCCTGCAGGGATGGCTCTCATCTCACACTGGTGAGGTTATTTGAAATGTTCTTTTTCTGACTATGGACACGTAAATGAACAGATGTCCCTGGATGTCCCTAAACCTGCCTGTCAAAAAAGCTTTCCTCTGTGGAGGGTGGCCTGGGCTGGGGGTCAGGAGCCCTGGGCAGGGAGGGCATCTTTAAATGCTAGCAAATGGAGACATAGAATACTGGAACTGTAGGGATCCTTTCCTTTGTTGTGATTTTAATTGGTTTTAGGTTTATTATTTTATGTGTATGAGTGTTTTGGTGCATATATTTCTGGGCACTGTGTGTGTGTGTGTGTGTGTGTGTGTGTGTGTGTGTGTGTGTGTGTGTGAGAGAGAGAGAGAGAGGGAGAGAGAGAGAGAGAGAGAGAGAGAGTGTGTGCTTGATGCCCTCGGAGGTCAGAAGATGGCATCCGATACCCTGGAACTGAGTTATAGATGGTTATGAGCTGCCTGTGGGCACTGGAAACCAAACCTGGGTCCTCTGCAAGAGTAGCAGTGCTCCAAACTGCTGAACGGTCTGTCTAGCCCTCTGTTGTGATTTTATTTTCATGTGTTACTTTCTTCGTTTGTTTGTTTGTTTTTAGAGACAGGGTTTCTCTGTGTAGCCCTGGCTGTCCTGAAACTCTCTCTGTAGACCAGACTGGCCTCGAACTCACAGAGACCCACCTGCCTCTGCCCCCCCCCCCCAGTACTGGGATTAAAGGTGTGTGCCATCAATGCCATTACTTTTTTTTTTTTTTTAAGGTTTTATGTATTTATTATGTATACATTCGTCTACCTGCATGCCAGCAGAGGGCACCAGATCTCATTTAAGGTGGTTGTGAGCCATCACCATGTGGTTGTCAGGAATTGAACCCAGGCCCTCTGGAAGAACAGTCAGTGTTCTTAACCGCTGAGCCATCTCTCCAGCCCCTACCATTACTTTCTATTATTTGGAAAATGTTTTTCTATTTTTTTTTCTGCCAAGACTGTGCCACAGTTTGTATGTGTGGCTCAGAAGATGCCTGCAGGAGTTCGTTCTCGCCTCCATCATGCGAATCCTGGGGACCAGACTGGGGCGGTCAGGCTTGGTGGAGCCACCTTTACCTGCTGAGCCGTCTTCCTAGCCCCGGTTTCTTTTTTTGTGTGTGTTTGTTTGTTGGGAATTTCAGGTGTGCACTGTATTTTACTCATGCTCACCGTGCCCCAGACTCCTCCAGAGCCCTGTCTCCCACTTTCTGTTGTACGTTTTCATCTGTTATAATTTTGTAAGTGGTCCCTGAGAGCGGCAGTGACACTGTCACCAGTAGGAGAAAGATAAGAATGATTACAGGACGACATTTTTCACAGAGTAATTCATGTTCAGTTTGAAGGCATGTTTGTGGAAACTACATTTTCTAAATTGGAGGGGGGCAGTTAAAATGTGTGGGTTTTTTTCTTTTTTTCTGAAATGATGGCAGTAGTAAATAATGAAATTAGAACGTGGTGGTTCATATCTGCTGCCTGTTCTTAGAGCCCAAACTGTGGGGGGCCCTGGCCTAGCGTGTCCACTGTAGCTGACGGTTGAGACTGTGGCATCCAAGAGGAGAGTAGGTAGCAGGCCCTACCCTACCCAGTGCCTGCCCTGAAGAATGTAGGGGATGGCTGTGGTCTCAGGTGTGGGTGTGGAATCTCTCTGTAGCCATTCTTGAATAGTCAGAAGACCCAACCCTGTGTCTTTGCGGGAGTCTTAGAGAGAAAACAGTTTCCAGATCTGGGGCTGTTGCCCACAAACAGCCAGAGCAGAGACTCCAAACCTCACACTGAAGTTACCCGGAGAGCTTCTGTCCTCCTACCCAGTTCACACCGCATACTGATTACCCAGAATGCAAGGATGTGGGAGCTGGGGCCGGCCTTTGGGACACTGTCACCAGGTGTGTGTCAGCCCTGTGTGCACCAAGGCTCTTCAGGGTGAGACTGTCATGGCGCCTGTGCCATGGAGTGCTCCCACCTCTACCTTCTCTAAATTCACCTCTGTCCCTGTCATTGCCTCCTTCTCCTTCTCTCTGAAGGGCCTACCCTTCAGAGATCCCTTCCTGTACCCACTGTGCCTAGCCCACCCCGCCTCTCTACTTTCCACACCAGGTAGTGCATGTGAAGGTTTTTCCCATTATTGCTTTCCACCTTATCTTTTGAGTCAGGATTTCCCACAGAGCCCAGAGCTCCTTGATTGGCTATAATGACTGACTCCAAAGATCCACCTGTGTAAATCGCTACCAGGTGCTAGGGTTCCAGATGTGATTGGCCCTTGTCTCTTACATGTGTGCTAGAGATCCAAACTTAGGTCCTCATGCTTGTTTGGCGGGCATTTCACCAACTAAGCCATCTCTTCAGCCCTCACTTTTGGGAGTATTTTCTAGCTAGGGTTTGACTCTGTAGCTCAGGTTGGCCTGGAGCTTTTGCCATGTAGACCTACCATGCTGGCCTTGAACTTGAATCTCCTCACCTCTACCTCTTGAGTGCTGGGCCTACAGGCATGTGCTACCATGCCTGGTCCTAACTCCTTACATTTTCGTCTCTTCTTCACGGCATGTTTGTTTGAAGTATTCTCTAACTAGTTTTCTGGGCTGCCTTTCACCCACTGGAGTATAGCTGGGAGGATGAGAGCTCACTCCCCAGGACTTGTAGCATCTCCTTGTAGGGCCTGGCTGCATGGCTAGGAAACTTTTGCACTTGCTCCTTTGCAGGTAGCTTTAAAATTATGGGTTGACGTGCTGAGCAGCTGAGCAGTGGAGTACTTTCCTGGCATGCAAGCACCACACAGACAAAAGTGGTCTGTATTTTAAGTTCCTTCCTTATACCAAGGGTTGACTGGGGCTAGGCGAGCCAGCATTTCCATGGGGTGAAATGCATGTATTTGTGTGTGTGCACGCAAGGTGGTGTGTGTGGAGGCATGGGTGGGTTTCTGAAGATGTGAGGTGCAAAAGGAGGGTCTCCCCAAATCCAGC